GACACCATAGAATCATTATCCACTTCATGGGCTGACGAAACTAATCAACACCTTGAAGCAAGCAGCAGTAACTCCTTCCATAACTCAGCAGATATCAGAAGTATTCCAAAATTAAATGAGCAAGAAAAAATCCTAGAGTTGTGCAACAAAATTGACCAGTGTGACAGGACAGCTAAGTCTATAGTAGAACTCTTTATTAAAATCAAAAGCCAACCAACCGGTATACCAAGGACCTCTTTAAAAGGCATCTTTTCCAAAATTAAGTACAGAGACCGTGACTTCTTTAGAACCTTTGCAAGAGACGAGTCAATCAAGAGACAACACCAACGAGAGTATGAAAAAGTAGAAAAAGAATTCCATAGTAACTACCTAAAGGCAAACAACGTAGGATACATCACCAGAACCGTCAGGAAAAAAATTAGAATAATTATCAACAAGGCCCTCTTCATCGCATATCTCAGGTTAACAGACCTGGCTCTTCTCAAATACTGGCAAGTCGCATAACTTCTGGAATACAACTTTAACTTCTTCATGGATCCTAACCTGGAAAAAATTGACTACAATGAAATCTACAAAAACTGTGAAAAAATAATCAAGGAAAATCTCCCTAACCTCCCAGAAAATCCAACTGACATCCCTAAATCAATAAAAGTGCGACTTTCAAAAGCCATACCAATCACCTCCACAAAAGATACAAGTGAGATTGTAGGTAGTCTTAGAGCCTTCTACAACTTCGAGCTTCTCCCAACAATATACTTTGTCAAAAAACCTGATTTACCCCTTGACCCAAGCGATCTTGCTTCCATGGGGAAACACAAATTTCCATTAACAGAAAGAGAAAAGTTAATAGATCTCAGAATTCGTGTAGAAAAACTCAGAGAAGACTACTATGTGCCTGGAAAACTTCCCGACGCATATTTTAATCTCCCACCACCAAAATTAACCCTTCCACCCTTCTATAGAGACCTACCCCACCACTTAGCCAGAGAATTCCCAGTAGACAACAGTATCGAAAGCTTCAAAAGAGGAGTTAACCTCCTAAGAGACAATAACTATGCAGTCAAGCGCCTTTCACTAGACTACATAATAGTGAAGCGCCCTCTCCCTCCTTCGCACTGGTATGGTGAAAATAATACCATTCTTCTGCCCATCACCACACAAGAAGAAGCAGACGAACTTATAAAGGATCTCAAGTCAAAATTCTTTATAAAACTTCCTTTGGGACCTGAATGGATCAATGAAAATCTAACTCAATTTGACAAGCCAAAGCTTCCTGTCGAGTTAAGCACAGTAGAACAAGAACTCAACATCAACAAAGAGCAACTGGACAGAAACTCCCCTGACTTTAAACAAACGATCTCCAAGATCAAAAACAACTACACTGGTGCAATACCAAGAGAATGGATCACACCTCTCTTACCAATACTTCCTGACATAAACGAAACAAACAAAATCCTTACTGGCAAAAACATTCAATTATCAGTACCCCTATTGGACGACCACAACTTAGTGAAAAAATTAAAATCCTTGGCACACACTTCCACTTCGATAAACTCCCACGAGATTTCATCACTGAGCCCGAGTCACCTGAGCCAAAGTTGACTCTTTTCCCAACACTTATCTAATAATAACAGAAGAGTCCAACTCAATTCACTCCTTAGAAACCATCTCATCTGACAACTCATCCACAAGTATCAACAATCCAATTAGATCCAATCATCAAATATCACCAGTAAATACCCCATGCCGCACAAAAAACCTCATCTCAATTTCAACACTCAATGTCCAAGGCCTTAACTCTCGAGGGAAACTTCTGGAGCTGACCAAAAGCATCACTAACGAACGAAGCATTCTTTGTTGTTCTGTAACAAAAACCACAAAACGTAACCCTCTACCAAAATCATTAAATAACATCACTATCATCACAAGTACCCCAAGTCAATCGGCATGCAACGGATCAGCCATACTCTTAACCAAGCCACTCACTAACCATAT